CTCCATCGTCCTGGTAGAACAAGAACAGGGCCAGGGCAAGCTAACATTGTATTTTTCGCGTTATTCTAACACAGTTGAGAAAATCGACGAATCGAAAGTACACGAATCTCTTTTAGTAATATCTTTTACTACATTTTCCATTTAAGGTTACAAAAAGCACGTGGTGATTTTTGCTCTTACTGTCTTTAATTTCGTAGGATACCACAGGGAGACCCTCTTTAAAATTCGATCGAGTTTTGTTTTAGTCGGAGCATTTATATTAATTACCCGCGCGCTTTCTCTTGTCACTAAAGTAGGTGACCGCCCAGAATTCTCCGTTGAATTATATTTCCTTCTGTTTTTTTAATTCATTCTTGTTGTTTACCAAATTCGACTTTTTTTTTCCATGGCATCATCTTTTTGCGTCGACAGACATACAGACAGTAAGCATCCCAAGCGAACGCTCTTTAATCGTCTTGTTTCATCATAAATTGGTAGAATCCCGATTAAATGGGGAAAAATTGGAATGTCTGATCACAGGGAGCATACACTAGTTGCAAGATTGATTAAAATTTTGTTCTTTTATGATGCAAAGATTCGTTGTTTTCTTTAACCCGCTGGCTACGAAAAGATTGACTGAAAACAAAATATCGTTTCCAGAGACCTCGATCCCTTTGGTCAGCAGCAGGGGCTAGACAAGGGTAACGTAGGCTTTGGGGACGAGATTGCTGAGACTACAGCATGCATGCATGCGTAGTTTGCGTGTACATACTGTAACCAGCTCGCGGGAAGAAGACAGGGAGCCACGGACAGGTTAATCTTTGTATCATGAAAGAAATACTTTATTCAGTCCGGTAACTAACGTATGTTCCCTGTGGTCTGATTTAGGGTGTGTTCTATTGACCCTATTCCGGAACAAGAATGTACATGAAATGGACATTAGAAATCCTTCGTTTTACGGAGATTCCCACAAAAAATTGTCCAACACATGCTAAAATGTAATTTTAAATATACAATTAACATCCTACTTGTGTGGAAACACCAAACATCATTCCATGTATGACTATGTACGCTCATTCTTGACCTTGGTGTATAAATAAACGAACAAATTATTCTTGTCACAGTCTGA